ATACAGATACAGACCTTAAGGAGTTAAATCCTAGAGGAAGACAGAGAAAACAACAAAATCACATATCTGTAGCATATAAGATGGTCATCAGTATTATGGAAAAAAGATTAACTAGACTAAGATATATAAAGAGTGCTGAGGTAGAAGGGAAGGGTGTTGCTATTTTTTATAGGGTGGTCAGGAAAGGGCTAACTGATAAGATGATATATGAATGGACACTTTAAAGACTTATCAGAGATGTGAGGTTGAGACTTGGTGAAAATGAACACTGGAACAAATAAATTTTAAACATTTTACTGTGAAAACTACGAAGGATATATTTCCAACAAGAAATGCTAGGAAATTTCAGATTTGGGGATTCATGTGCTTAAATTCTAGGATTTTTCCAGTTCATGACAGCAGACTCATTTAGCTTGAGAGTATTAGTATTCAGCCTGTTCAGGATAAGGCCCAGCCAGGTCATGGGAAGTCCTGAGTGGGTTCTTATGGAGTCTCATAGAGTCCTATAACCCCAAAACTCTGGCATACATCCTACATGGTGAAAAATATTGCCTTTGGCAAAGCAAGTCACCTGAATTTAACTTCCTACTGTGCTACCACTGCCATCTTGCTAGGTTGTATAGTTTTATTTTGAAACAGATCTATCAAGATGTAATTCACATTCTTTACATTAACGCATTTAAAGTGTAAAATCTGAAGGTTTTTAGTACATTCACTGAGTTATACAGCCATCAACACAATCTATTTTAGAACATTTTTATGTTCTAAAAAAACCAAAAAATAAACTCTCTATTGCCCACTAAACTTGAAGCCCCAGGCAGCCATTAATTTACTTTCTGTCTTCTGAATTTGCCCATTGTGGACATTTCATATAAATGCAATCATATAATATGTGGTCTTTTGTAAGTGGCTTCTTTTACCTAGCATAATGTTTTCAAAGTTCATCCATGTTGCAGTAGGTATCAATAGTTTATTTCTTTTTATTGCCAAATAATATTCTGTTTTATGGATATACTACATTTCATTTATTCATCCATTAATGAGCATTTGGGTTGTTTCCACTCTTGGCTATTATGAATAATGCTGCTATCAACATTCATATACATATTTCTGTGTAGGCATGTTTTCATAATCTTGGGTATAAACCAAGGAGTGGAATTGCTGAGTCATATAGTAGCTAACATTTTGAGGCACTCCCAAAATGTTTTCCAAAGTGGCTGCACCTTTTTACATTCCTACCAACAATGTAAAAGGGTTCCTTTTGGTTTCTCTTTGCCAATATTTGTTACTATCTGTCTTTTTGGTGATAGGTATCCTAGTGGGTCTGAAGTGGTATCTCATTGTGGTTTTGATTTGCATTTCTCTAGTAACTTACTATGTTGAGCATCTGTTCATATGCTTTTGGCCAATTGAAGATCTTATCTAAAGAAATGTCTATTCAAATGATCTTTTCATTTTTAAACTTAGGTGGTCCTTTTATTATTGAGCTGTAAAAGTTCTTTATATAGTCTGGATATTAGGCTCATCGTATATATGGTTTACAAATATTTTCTCCAATTGTCTTGTCTTTTCATTTTCTTGATGTTATCACTTGCAACAATTGTTTTTTAATTTTGATGAAGTCCAATTTATCTATTTATTTTCTTTTATTTCTTGTGTTTTTAGTGTTGTATCTATAAAGATCACAAACGTTTACTCCTATATGTTTTTTTTTCCTAAGCGTTTTATAGTTTTAGGCTTTACACTTAGGTAGTTGATCCATTTTCAGTTAGTTTTTATCTATCGTGTAAAGAGGGGCTCAACTTCAGATTTTTGCAGTTCTAGTACCATTTGTTGAAGAAAAACTACCATTTTTCCTCATTGAATTATTTTTAGCACCCATTATGAAAATCAATTGAGCATGAATGTCAGGGATTATTTCTGGACTCTCAATTATATCCCACTGATCTATATGTTTATCCTTCTGCCAGGATAATAGTCTTGGTTACCGTAGCTTTATAGTAAGTTTTGAAATCTGAAAACATGAATCCTTCAGCTTTGTTCTTTTATTTTCAAGGTTGTTTTAGCTATTCTGTGTCCCTTCATTTTCATATAAGTGATAAGATCTGCTTGTAAATTTCAGAAAAAAAAACAGATTTCAGTAAGAATTGCATTGGATCTATAGATCAATATGGCAAGTATCATTATCTTAACAATATTAAATCTTGTTTGTGAACATAAGTATCTTTCCATTTATTTAAGTCTGTTTTACTTTATTTTAGTAATGCTTTGTACTTTTTAGAATGCATGTTTTGTACTTATTTTGGGTAAATTTATTCCTAGACATTTTCTTCATTTTGATGCTATTGTAAATGAAATTGCTTTATTTCATTTTCTAATTGTTCATTGTTAGCACTTACAAACACAATAGAGTTTTGTATATTAATTTTTTTCTGTAGTTCTGCTAAACTTGCTTATGCAATATACTTTTAGTGAATATCTTATGATTTTCTATATATAACATCATGTCACCTGCAAAAAGAAATAGTTTTATTTCTTTTTTCCCCTCAACCTGGATGGCTTGTTTTGGGGGGATAAAAACCCAATTCCCTGGGTAGAACCTCTAGTGTAAGGCTGTATGAAAATGGTGGGACCAGATATCCTGTCTTCTTCCTGATCTTATGGCGAGAGCACTCAGACTTTTACCCTTCACTGTGTTTACTATGGGTTTTTCATACCTGCACTTTTTCAGGCTGAAGAAATTTTCTTATTTTCCTACTTTGTTGAATGTTTTCATCATGAAAGACTGTTGGATTCTACCAAATATTTTCTCTGGGTCGATTGAAATGATCATTTTGTTTGTTTGTTTGTTTTGTTTTTTACTTTATTCTATAGATATGGTGTATTACATTAATTTTTTTTCAGATGTAAAATCAACCTTGTATTCTTGAGATAAATCCTACTTGGATGTGGTGTATAATCCTGTTTATATGTTGCTGGATTTGATTTGCTAGTATTTTTTGAGGGTTTGAAAAAATATCTGTATTCATAAGAAATATCCATTTGTGGTTTTCTGTTTTTGTTATAGTTTTGTCTGATTTTGGTATTAGGATAATCCTACCCTGTCCAACATTTTTTAATAATGACTAAACATGCTGTGTGCATATCACATTGAAAATGTGTAATGATGACCTGCTTGTGGACATGTACAGGCAGTTCAAGGTTTAGGAGGAACTGACCATGCACGGAGGTTTTAGAAAGGCCCTAATGCATTGTAGTCCCTGTAAAGGATTTGGTGGGTATCTGTAATTCTAGAAACAAACTTGATAATCATTAACAACACTGGCATTCATGTTCATACTTTCTATCTGGATAGAGCAGCATCTTATGACAGTTTAATAAGCATCAGAGGGTGCTTGTCTCACCAATATCCAGAACCTTTTCTTCCTGGGCACACTACATTTTCCAACCTCCCTTTCTGTAGGGTGTATATGTCAGGCTAATATGATATATGCAGAAGTGATATCACTGCTTTGAGGGTAAGAATGTGAAATCCTCCTGAGTGATCTTCTTTTCCATTTGGTAGCTAAAGGGAGAGGACTTCCTGGACCTAGAGGAAGATGGGCCCACAGGTGTAAGGAGCCTGGATCTCTGGTTCTCTATGTAGAACAGAGTCTTTCCCACCCCATGCCCCATCAAGCAGCCTTGGACTGTGATATCAACAGAAATGAAACCTAAGTTGAATTTAATTAAACTGAGATATTTGGGTTGTTTATACAGCAGCTAGTCTACCCTTAGCAATATAAAATATCCATAACTAATATAATGAGTGAAAATTTTACAGTGTCCTGTCAGTGTAGTTGCACTATATAACTGAAGTGACTGCCAGCTGCTTCAATTTTGATTAAGATAATAAACCTGCTGGCAGGAATGAACATGGGCCAAGATGACACATCTTCAGTGTATGTTCTGGGCAGCCAACAGGAAGCCAAGTGCTCCTCACTGGTGCCTTAAACCAGAGACTAAGCTTGATTTTTAAGACAATTGATTTTTAATGATTTTTCCTTTCTTTGAGGCATCCTTTTCTTCCATTATGCTTTTCACAGTATTCTCTCAAAACTTGAACTATATGTCTACCTCCTGAAGTCTCCTACTTGCTGTTTTTATTCCCCATTTCCTCAATTTTGGATCATGCCAAAAGTGATACAGGAACAAGCCAGGATAGAAGAGACAGATAGTTGACTAGGTTCACTAGCAACGATTACATACAATTACAACTTTTTTTTTTTATTGTTTGGACAACTGAGAAGGGAGGCTTTCTATATTCCCTAATAGAGATATTACCAATTGTTATGACATCTTGCAAAAAAAACAAAAAAGACTACAAAACATCTTGTGATTTGGTGCATTTTCCTGGTTATAACATATAAAAATTATCCCAAAGGAAGTGAAATTATCTGATTCTAGTTCTATCATGCTTTTCTAGTGACAATTTTCCAAGCCCATGTATTTATACATGTGAATAGATGATAATAAGGTGACAAATGACCAAGAAGCCTTCTTGTATTACTACATTCAAGAGTTCCCTAGCATCCTTAGGTGGCTCTTGCCATTGGAATAGCTTAGACTAGCATGATGGATGAAAGCCTGAAAAGGGAATGATTAATAACAGAGGACTGCAAGAAAGAGCTGAGAGGCCTTAAAGACTAATTGGATGTGAAATGGGCTATTAAAGAGAGACCCTCATTTGGAGGTTGGAGGACATTGGAATAGACAAGAAATAGGGACATTAAGAACCAAAGGTGCCGTTTGGGGAGAGAATAAATAGAAGGTCTTTGATAAAATCCCAGAATTCGATTTCAGTAGTAAGAACGAGGGAGAAACCAGCTAAACTTATGAGAGATAATGGGGCATGGAGAGGCCAGGCAGTCATTGCGTGTGGAACACTACAGTGAGAGGATATGTTGTTATAAGAAATAAAGGGAAGGATTGGATAAAATAAACATTTCCTTTTCTTTCAGATAAAAGGAGACCCGTATGTCTATACAGACTGGGAACACGGAAACAACAAAGAAGGAAGTTTGAAGACAGTAAGAACTGAAGATTTGGGTGGAAGAGGAGATAATTGAAGGTGCAAAGTCCTGAGAAAGGCAAGAAGGTGAAGGGCTAAGCTTTGACATGGAAACATTCTGTGAGATAGAAGGTGAAGGGAGAATGTGTGAAGAGATAGAGATATAGTCCAGTTTTTGGGGAGAAAGGAAGATATTGTATGAGGATCAAGTTGTCGATGGTTTCATTTGAGAATTGCATGTCTAGATGGGTGCCCCAGGTGAACTATCAAAAGGGGAGCACATCTGCATTGGAGAATCTGTTACCTGGGAGCCAGAGAGAAGACCAGATAAAATTGAGTGAAATAGGAGGCTACAGCAGTACTTGTTGAACGTTGCCTCAGAGTTTGTGCTGACCTTTAAGTTCGAGCATGTATGACCTGTTTTCCTGTTTCTCCCGGCCTGGCTTGCTCCTCCACCACCTTTGGTGTGATCCAAAATTGAGGGAATGGGGAATCAAAACATATGGGTACATTATAGGGCAGGCAGTTGCTCTGATTTTCTCCACTTCACCATTGTTTCTCTAAGAATTTGTAGGACTCTTAATTATTGGAACTTTGACAAATGGGGAGGAATTCGTGCCTGGTGATTTTTTTTTTTATGCAAGAAGTAAGGTAACAAATAGGAGTGGGGACAAATAAGAGTGGGAACAATTACTTCCTCAAGGTAACTAAGGTCTAAAATAGTTTAATGCAACTAAAATTGCACTAGTGACTTAAATTGTCCAACTCCTCTGAATTATCAGCTGATGTTAGTCTGGCTTTGTAGTAAACTAGATCCATCGAATGGCTGACTCCTAGCTTATTTCAAAGTTCTTCCCCAACTTTCTCCATTAACAAGTTCTATTCCCCTATCTTTATGTCTCTTATATATGCCCTTTCTATATTTTTAATTTTACATATTCATATTCTAGGTCTTAGTTTATGCCTGGATGATTGCATGATTGTTATAGTTTCCCCAATTGTCTTCTGTTCCCTCTTTCCTGCCATTCTGCTGCTTTTTTTTTTGAGTACCACTGTTAAATTAATATTCATTGGTTTTGTAGTTGTAGAGCAGGAAGAAAAAAATACATCTAATATTAGATGTAATACTCTAATTTTTTTAATCATATGAAACAGAAGACAATTAAGTAGAAGTCATGCCTACCTGGATGTTTTTAAAGGCTTTTTCAAATGTCTGAGGAAGAAATAGGGCATTTACAAACTATCATTTGCTCATAAAATCGAGCTTTCATTTTAAATAAATAAGAAAATAAGACTTAAGAATGAGCTTGGTAACTGGTAAAATACCAGAAAACGTAACATCAGCCTTCGTCTCTCTCTGTCTTTGCATCGCCTTGCCTAACCTTGTGTGAGTTTCCCTGCTAGCTCGCTAGCTCCTGTGCTCACTCATCTTTGACTCTAGCAAGGCGGGGGCGGGGGGCTGATCATTGCATTCAGTTTGTGATGGTTTGCACAGTGGACCAAAATGTTACCACTCAAACCTCTCCAGAGGGCCCAGATGGCTGATGTATTGAGCTGCCAAAGAAACAGTAATATAAACTATAAAGTGTGAAGAAATAGATATATATTTTTTGTTGCATTTTAGTCCTGACATTAAGTAATGTGGACTTCAAGAGCTGACTGAAATTCAAAAAATATTGAGAGTCTGGGCCATTGTTCTGATTCTTCACTGTCAAATAACTAAGCCTCGATCTTCTCAAATACACACACTTGATTGGTGTCATCTGATAGCAGTACAGTTTTTGCTTTAGCAATTTAGGAAAAGGATTAATTTTAAATTGACCTAATTATCTGTTTCTTATTTTGCATTTAAGCTTTGATGATGCAATATCTGATCATATTCGAATATTCAGTTGGTATGCATTTTTAATATTGTGTCTTACCTTGATAATTTTTTGTTGTGTAACTTTTAATGACAATCAGTTTAATATGCCTATTACCCTTTTAATCATATTTTAATAACATCTAGTGTACTAATAATGGATTTGGCAGCATTATCACTGATTTTTTCATGAACATATACATATATATATATATATATACATGTATAATTTATTACTTGGCATACTTAAGCATATTTTATAAAGTATGTACTTCTAATGAAAGAATTTTTATGTGCACATGTATAAATAAGATATAAGTTGGTGGTTCTCAACTGGGGTAGTTAGCCAACCCCCCTTCCTACCTGCAAGTGACATTTAGCAATGTCTGGAGACATTCCTTACCATCACAACTGAAGGGATGCTACTGGCATCTAATATGTAGAGGCCAGAGATGTCCTGGGCATCCTACCATGCACAGGCCAGCCCCCACAACTTAATATGGCCCCAAATATTGATAGTGCTGAGGCTCAGAAATCTTGGTCTAGATGAATGGGTTTGTGATTGATTGCCTTTTCATGTTTTGGGAAAAAAAGTTTTGAGGTACTCTAAGATTTTTTTTAATTTTTAAGTTATAGTTGACATGCAATATTAATATTAGTTTCAGGTGTACAACATAGTGATTAGACATTTACATAAACCATGAAGTGATCATCTTGATAGGTCTAGTACCCATCTGATGCTATACATAATTGCTACAGTGCTATTGACTATATTCCCTATGCTGCACTTTATTTCCCTGTGACAGTGTTTATAACTGTCAATTTGTACTTCTGAATGCCTTCACCTTTTTCACCTTCCCCCCCTCCAATACCCTTCCCACCTGGAAACCATCAATTTATTCTCCGTATCTATGAGTTTGTTTCTGTTTTGTTTGTTCATTGTTTTGTTTGTTTATTATTTATTTTTTTAGATTCCGCATATAAGCAAAATCATATGGTATTTTCCTTTCCCTGTGTGACTTATTTCACTTAGCATAATACCCTCTAGGTCCATCCATGTTGTCACAAATGGTAAGATTTCATTGTTTTTTATGGCTGAGTAATATTCAATTGTAGATGTACCATGTCTACTTTATTCACTCATCTATTGATGGATACTTAGGTTGCTTTCATAGTTTGGGTATTGTCATTAATGCTGCGATGAACATAGGGGTGCATATATTTTTTTGAATTAGTGTTTTGGATTTTTCTTTGGATAAATACCCAGAGGTGGGATTTCTGAGTCATATAGTAGTTCTATTTTTAATTTTTTGAGGAACCTCTATACTGTCTTCCATAGTAGATGAACCAATTTACATTTCCACCAGAAGTACTTTTATGGCCAGCAAAGAGGTAGTGCATGCAAATAGGAAGAAGCCAAGATAAAAAATTCCATAAACTCCACCATATTTTTGTAATGCCTGTTAACTTTTCAGATGTTTTCACCCTTAGAATGTCTTATAATTGTTATATCATCTCTGAAGTGGGAAATGAAAGTTTCTAAATAAATATGCCTTTTTACAGATGAAACACAGACACAGCATTTAAGTGATTATCTTAAATTACTGGTTGGTGATCTCAGTTCACTGTTCACAAAGCATTGAAACCCCTGAGACAAAGACATATCTACCAATATAATGGTAAGAGTGGAATAAGGAGGTGGACTTTTGATGCTCCCAAGAGGAAAACAGGCTAGTAGTACATATGTTCAAAAGGCCTGCTTTGTCTTCTCTTTACTTCTCCCATCTCCTCAGTAATAAGAAAAATCCAAGAGGAATAAAGTCGCCATTCTATTATTAAACACTGAATAATCTCAGACTATCATTTTAATTAAAACATTTCTTTATTAATGGAGAGTTAAATTCACTCGTATTAACTCTAAGTTTACATTTAATATTAATCATAGTATTCAAGGGAAGTAAATCTCAAATTGATGCTGTAAATTGTGCTAATATAGCCATGCTAAAACTGAGACAGCTCAAGCAATATGGCCTTTCCATGCTTTTCCTCTGCAAGTTCTAAGTTATGACTCCTCTTTTAGCTATTGAATAATAAATGCATTTGTCACAGAATTCCATTGGTCCGGGTACAGATTTAAATGAGAAATGGAACAAACATTGATGGATAATAACTGTAGGGCTAACCTTGGTTAATGGTGTCAGTGATTTTCAGAATATTGAACATAGAGGAGAAATCCACTGTCATTTCCATTTCAGGTTTGCTCCTACTGTGTTATTTAGACCAGGAACTAAGATCGTTAAGCTTTAACTTAGAAAGTATTAACATTATAACATAATACCTTATGTTTTAATAGTTGAGGTAATTAATTTTAAATGAAGTAGAGCTGTAGTCTCAACTATCTTTGTATAAACATTGATCATTCAGAATAAGTTCTAATTAAATGTTTCCAAAAACTTGTACAAACCTTTGAAAGTGAATGCAGAGGGAAAAGTTACAAAGCCATCCATCTTACCTTATTAACTTGCTCATTTGTCAATCAAAGTTTTCCTAAAATTTAGGGACTACAGACTGCAGTAAGGTTTTTTTCTCAATATGTTTACTGTTTCTACTAGACATCTCACACTGTGGATATACCAGAGAGGCAGAGAGGCTTTCACATATGTTTTCTGCAGTTAAAAATTGACTAGTTAGGCTGTAGATTGGGGTAAATTCTGCAATACCCATCGGGAGATGAAGGTGGCCTAGCAGCAGAGAGGAACGGCTTTCAATGATGAGGGCTGTCAGTGTCCAAAAATAAAGGGGAAATTCCTAGGAATTTGCACCTTAGTGGGAGGTGGACAAAACACTGAAAGCAAGGTAAGAGGATAAAGAAAATCAGGGAGTGAAATGACTCCACAGCAGTATTTCCAAGCTATTTATTTATTTGAATGACTAGGAAGCGAGTTGCGATTTAAACTCCCATGTTATCCACTGAGGTAGCATGTTGAAGATGGAGGAGTTGTTTGTAAACACAGTACTTATATTCTAATGGTTATTCTTTATCATGGCTAATTTGAATTATCAGGGGAGTTTTAAAATATGTGAATGACTTCATCCCCAGCTGGGGATTCTGGTTCATTGGGTCTAGAGTTAGGCCTCAGGAAT